AGCGGATGCCTAGGTTATAACATCTACCTGCATGCCAAATTTCAGCCCGATCTGTGCGTTGATAGATCACTATGTCAGTCAGTCAGTCACCTTTGAGTTTTATATATATAGATTGCGATACCCTATCAGGGTTCATGGGTCTGTATCTATATTTGTTTTATGTAACATCTGTAATAAGCACATGAGTGCAATAAAATAAATAAATAAAAAAGGCTATAGGCTATATAACATCACCGCACGACAAGTAGAAGCAGAGCATCGATGAAAAATGTTGCAAAAACGAGTAAAAATATTCATTTTGTGAGCTTCCGTTGCGTGTGCTGCGTAAACGGTTAAAGTTACGCAAAAAGCATGTATGACGGAATTGTTCCCCTTTAAAAGTTCTATAAAAAGGTCTGCGTCAGTATACTATGTCCATATTGTCCATCTTTTAAGTTTGATTCAAAGGTTACAGTAACCTTTTTCCCCCAATTAACCCGGCGGAAACCGCAGGGAACCTGTAGTTGTGACATAACTGTAACAGTTCGACGTATAGTATCGTGGACTTTTTTGTAGATATTCATGTACTCTATAAAACTTTAGTACATCACTTTGCTCTATATCAATGACATTCACAGCGTAAGCAATATAAGGTATTTTTTTGTTTTTTTTTTCACACAAACAAACAATCAAATCTTCCCTCGGTGTAATATTATTATAGATGTATTCCGGGTTTTTTCTCAAACAAGGGAGTTGTCAACAGTATCACAAGAATATGACGTAACGGAGTGGCGAATCGTCATTTTCAAAATAGTTTATCTTTATGTTGTACATATCCCACCAAACATTAACTAATTATTCTGAGAAGTTTCGGAACTCCCGGAATTGTGAATGCCGAGACTTCGCAAACTTCATGCCAAAATGCCATCAACAAGAACCAAAAGCCAGGTGTGGCTTATGACCACCAACTTCAGAAATAAATTATTCTCGCAAGTTCGAAGAAAGCAATAAGGTCCCAAGAACTCGATATTTATAAATAACTTATTGCGTAGTGCTATAGGTTTAGGAAAATAATTTACTTATTTCATGAGAAATTTGTATAAATATGAGATCAAAAGAATTATACTTATAATAGCATATTTTCATCATCATCATGAGCCTATTAATGTCCCGTCCCCACTGCTGGGGCGCAGGCCTTTATTCTGAATGGAATAGAGAGAAAGAACCACCAACACCACGTGGGCACTGTGCATCGACTGTAGATATAGCCAGATCCAACGCAAGAGGAGCGCGAGATTTTAAATTGTTGGTCACCCATCCATTAACGTCAGGAAAATGCGTGACGCATACCCCACCGCCTTGGGAGAACGGCGAGGTTATGTAGGACTCTTCCCCCTGTCTTCCGTCCACCCGCTCAGTCAGTCCGAGGACTAGCTCAACGACTACTCGAGAGGAAGGGGGCCTTATCCACTAAAAACCTGACGATGTCCCTCACGTCACCGATGGGCCGTCACCTCGTCGGGCGCAAGATGCGCCATCAGACGGTAACCCGCCCGGCGAGGCTAAGGCACTGGCTGAGGCCACGGGAACCCATAATGATACTTCCGCAACCTCACCAGATGTTCAGCCCTTGCAAAAATTGCTTCATTTTCATAATCGCAGACCGAAAGCGCTAACCACTGCGCAATTGCACTGTTAAATTTTAATTACTTATTTACTTGGAAGTCCTGCAGATTTAATTTTTTTTCTTTCACAATGTGTAAAATTGTATATTTTGTTAAATAACTGATTCATATCTGCACATTATTTTTACAAAGTAGCTAAGGATTTCACCAAATATCTCATAAAAATAGTACTAAAAAAAATCAGCTTGATCCAGGTTTCAGACGAGATTTAAACATTTATCAGTTGAAATAAAATATAATACTTAAAAGTAGTTAGTAATAGTAATGAAAAAAAATATTAACACTGTTGCTGGAAATAATATAGCATATAATATACAAAATTATGTTTTCAGTTTCAGAATAGATTCCATCCAATGGCAAAAGCTCGCCTCAAATGATAAAATCATTGTAAGTTTATCGAATAACAGTTTTATTTGGTCTTTATAAAATCCACTCTCGTGTACGAAGCTTTGAAAATAAAAACACTTTTGACATGTGACATTACGCTGAATAACTGGGAGATTGAAGAAAGTCCACATTAAGTCTTATTTATTAATAAAATATAGTCTAGCCGTCTGGGTTCAGTGGCCAGAAGGATACACAAAGATGTAGGTAGCTAAGTGGGTTAGCCAAATGAGAAATTATTTTGGGATTTTTTCTATCCTAAACTTATTCAATACACTTTAATAATGGGCTCAACTTTCGCTTTCCAGAATGTCTTTTATCATTTGTGGATGAAAATATGAAGTTACCGTATTAGCTTGATTATTTATTTTAATTTATCCAAAACTTTTCAATTCCTTGAGCTTTATCTTGCTTGATATAGGCTTTACAATCGTTTGAGAATAATTGACACTTGTGGTAACTCTTATTAGTTGTTGAACTGTACCTGATAGTTTTATCTTTAAAAGATCGTAAGTAATTTATATATTTTATGAGCTTTTCAGTCGCGGCAATCTTCTGTAGTCGTGTCGTCTAAGAAGTCTTATTGACGAACATCACATATTCGAACGTTATTGCGGATTTTTATGCTTATAACAATAGTTATACTTCCACATATCACTTTTATAATGGGTTCAACTTTCGCTTACCAGAATGCCCTTTATCATTTGTGGATGAAAATATGAAGTTACCAGTATTAACTTGATTATTTATAGTGTACCCAATGGTATGATGACCGGACAAAACATACCTAAAGGAGACCTTCGATTTTATTTTGACCCAATTGTGAACCTTGGTATAGATATTACGTAGACGCGATTTGTTATGGAATGACAGATGATAGCTAATACTATTGGTTTACATTCATTTCTTTCATTGTGATTGGTTGTATCAAAAATCACGTGACTTTTTCAATCACATGGTAATGACTGTAATATTTGGTCGCATTGGTACACAGACTTTTAACGAACCTTTTGAGTTATTTTATACTAGCTGCGCCCCGCGGTGTTACCCGCGGTTTATTAGGGATATCTTGCCCCAGTAAAACGTAGCCTATGTGTTAATCCAGGATGTCAGCTAACTCCATACCAAATTTTATTAAAATCGCTCCAGCCGTTTAGACGTGAAGAAGTAACTAACATACACACTCACAAACTTTCGCCTTTATAATATTAGTGTGATGTATTTTGATGAGTTTGTAATATAATATTATGCTAGAATCAAGCCGATCAGGTTTTTTTATGATTTCTGTAGCTTATTTTAATTAATATGAAGCTACACATTTACCATAATATATTATCTATGCTATTGATTAATTTATGTGGTACAAGTGAACAATAAATCCCATGTATATGTTTAATAAAATCGGCATATTTTTCTAAATTATAATTATAAATGATAATACTTGAGGTACAGTATTGACCAAAGTTGTATGGAGAAAAGAAAGGATCCTTTTACTGTTATTTATCATCAGTAAAAATTTGAAAAAAATTGACCGCATCTTTTGCCCAGAATGGCGTCAGAACTTACTTCGACACAGTACAGCGCCCTGGTGTCCAGAGTTCTCGAGGCTCTCTGCTTTATCTTTTAATAAGAAATTCCTGATGGTCCACCACATTTGCTTGGAAAACGTCCATCAATTTCAATCAGTTGCACATATCCTTGACAATTTGGTGGTTGTTTTTAAAATATCGATTCGATCGATTAGAGAGAATCTTATTTTATCGGCTTGGCATGGTCAGAATTGCTGCGTAGGGAAGCCGTTAACAGTCTGGTTTGACTTACTGAAAACATGAAATATTGGAACGAATCTTATCGACGAAAAATTTGCTTATTAAGCTCTGAGTAGAAAAGTGAATGTCGCAAAAAATATAAAATGTTTAATTATAATCTGCGGGAATACTATTTAAAAAAAACCTGTTTGTATTTATCTTATTAGATATTAGGCTACCACGAACACATCACATTGGATGGAGGAGGCTCTAACAGGGAGGAAAATCTCGCGATAAATAAACATAATTTATATGTTACTTATAGACGACCTCCGTGGCCGAGTGGTTTGTACACCGGGTTTCATGGTGTCGCCAACTCGAGAGGTCCCGGGTTCGAATCCCGGTTGGGGCAGATGTTTGTGTGATGAATACGAGCTTTTGAACTCCACTCGTGGATGTTTTTATATGTATTTCTATATAAATCTTTATATATATAATTCTTCTGTGAGTGTGTATGTCACTGAACTTCTCTTAAACGACTGGACCGATTTTGATGAAATTTTTTCTGTGTGTTCAAGAGGATCTGAGAATGGTTTAGATTCACAATTTTGTCCGCTGGACAATGTTTTTTTAATTAAATTTTTTTATGGCGGTACGAAGTTCGCTGGGTCAGCTAGTATACTTATATGTGTATTGTAACCGTTACCCTAGTATCCCATAACACAAGCCTACAGCGCTTACTTTGGGGCTAGGCTAATTGGTGTGAAGTGTTGGAAATATTTATTTATAAAGGCGTATTTACATTTGGTCGTTAGTCCGTATTCGGATGCACGGTAGACATTACTCGAATTCGGGCACCCGATGCAATATTTACATTGTTCTTACTCGAACACGAACTGGAAAACGGCGTAGGGTAACCAAAATAGAAAACTGTCTGAATACGGGCGTACTCGACTCCGTTCATTTACACTTTAAGTCGTTTGTCCGAATTCCAAAGGCAATCGTATTCGGGCTTACGACCAAATGTAATTGCACCATAAGAACAGCTAAGTTGATCAGGGATTCACCATCGAGGCAACTTGTAGATATGAGAGAAAAAATGTACTGATGATCGCTGTTCACATTATATCAATATGCATTATCGTTATCAGCAACATTTCCCGATATTTGCGGTGTTATCATCGATTTATCTTCAGTTCTGGTTAGACGATACAAGTATTGACAGTTCACCGTGCAACAGCAGAGATACACAAAATGGATCATAGCGAAGTTGATTCTTCACAATTTGATGCTAAGGCTGCAAATACGAGGTAAGATCTAAAAGTAATTAATGCTAGATTTGTACGGTAGTTCTTACCTAATAAATTATATGTAATTGGAATATCCAGTATTTGTCATATCAAGAATCTAAAGGAGTTGTAAATGGATTAGTTTGGCGACACAGCGAGGCAACGCTGCTAGTCTTCTGGGCACAGTGCCCCGCACAGGCGAACTCAATGAAATATTTAATTTGCAGTTATTGTTGTCTCTTTTGTTGATATAAATGAAAAATAAGAATCTTCACAACTCAGATCAATTTTATACCTACTGTGTACATGTGCTGTCCATTTCTTTGTCTACACTACAAAACTAAAATGCTCATTCTCTTAGCGCGATCTAAAATATTTCCTAATGTGTTTGATTGCATAATAAGTATATAATGAATGGGAGCGTAGTTCCTTTATAATATTTGGCAACGCTTTTATGACTCATCTGGCGTTACAGATATCCTTGCGATGGTGATAGATAACTTACCATCAAATAAACTGTTTTATCGTTTATTCATTTGCTTATGTTGCAACACGAGTTACTTGAACCAGAAGATTTTCATTCAATGGTACATTTTAATTTTCAGTTCCATTAATAATGCTAACCCTGAAGGTAGTGGTGTTCTTCCAAAAAAGCAGCCTAAATTCGATCCTGCTGCTTTGTACTATGACATGTCTGGAGACAAATTCTTAGTTATTTTCAACCACTTCGAGTTCCAGAAGACGCGATATTTCAAGTAAGTCTGGTTAATACTAAGCTACTGTTAGTCATATACACATCTACACATCGATTCATTTGTATTTTCTTTAACGCACTTTCTGCAAGTATAACTATGACAGTTGTAACTTTTTGAGAAAATCGAATCAGAGTTCCAATGCATTAGAGGGTAACCCGTTTTCTTTGCGGTCGAATGTATATCTTTTTTTTAATTTTCTACGATTCCCGGTTTATGTATGTACCAGTATGTAATGTTATTAATAATTATAATGACAAAACTTATGGTTCCTAATGCATTTACAGTAACAAACGTCCAACAACCAGAAAAGGGACACATCAAGATGAGACAGCATTGAAAGACACATTTACAAAACTCGGCTTTAAAATATTTATATATCGAGAATACGAGTATACACAAATAATAGACGCAATGAAAGCAAGTAAGTGCTATTTTTACATGCCTGCCCAAAAAAGGAGTGTAATGTATTCAGGGTTCATGTATGTGATTTGAGCCTTTAAGAGGATTTGAGCCTGGGGGTCGTAACACAGGTTTTGTAACCTAGTCCAATCTCCAGCTCTCTCAAAGAACTGCATTGTTATTACTGTTTTTGTCATTCACTACCCTTTTAATTAATTATAATGTTACTTTGTGACTTTGTAAGAGAAAATAAATAAATCATTCATTCATTCATGTATGAATGTGAGGGGTCTCGTTCTAAACTTATGGGCTTGAAAGTGCTTTCTTCAACTACTACTCGCGTCAAGTTCTTGAGATATTTTCTATATTGTCGGAGTATTAAATAGTTGTATTGTCACCATTGTTTGCACTATTTACATTATATCATGTTTTTATCGCGTCTATCAAACTTCATAGTAATCTGACAATTGAGCGTGATAAAAACGCGATACATATCATGTCGCTGTGCTCAAGTTATGACGTTACTGTCATTTTACATTTATAAATAGTTAGAGAATATAATATGTTTAGTGTTTTATTTATTTTATTATAGATTAGAAATGTAGGGAACCTATTACTAAAAGCAGTCGAAAACCTGTTTTTAAATTGGCATATGAATCCTCTGCGAGTAGATTGCATTTTAGGATTAAATTCAGATTGAGCATTTTGTTTGATTACTAGGTTTAAAATAAAAACTTGGCGGACTGTGAGAACATCACAATAACTATACAATTCAGTTGTTGAAAAAATGAAAGGTTTAAATGTACAGATTTTTAGCATTTCTTAAGTACTGTTAGTAGTAAGTAAGAAGACATTGACACAATGCATAATAAATTTATTTCAAGCGGTTTGGTCCTAAAATGTGTCTAATATTTTTGAAGATATATATTAGTCTACGTACTCTAGCACTTAGTAATTCTATATGTTCACGAAAATGAAGGCGTAATCGTGTTTTTTACATCATTCCGACTTTGTCAATGTGTTTAAGGCCCACTTTCAGCAAATTTGCTAAATCTCGATCCGACTAAAACTATATAATATCCCATGGAAAAATAACAAAACGCCAATGTCAATTGGGCATTAGTGTATGGGCTAAGAAACTAAATCGGTGTACCCATTTCATAAAAAAAACTACAAATAAAGACGAAGTCACATAAATTATGGCTTATTTTATTTCAGTTGCAAATCTCGACCATACTAAGACGTCGTGTTTAGTGGTAGTCATTCTAACGCACGGTGATACAGAAGGTGTGGTTTATGCTGCTGACAGAGGTTACCTTCTCAAAGATGTTACCAGTATTCTGGAGGCCGGCCACATAGGCCTCGTGAACAAACCCAAGCTATTTTTTATTCAGGTAATTGAATAACACTCTCCTCTCCTCTTGTATCCCTTGCTTGCAAATTTCCCAGTTGCCAACAGAGCCGGAGCACAGCGCTAGAGAAACCTTTCTGAGAATAATACTGTACAAGCGTACAATCCCGCCTCTTTAACTTTCTCAATATTTGTCAATCTATAGAAACGCTGGTTTTGGGTCTCTTTAAGAGGTTCTTCTAATATCGTCAGTACCTCAACGTTTTCCAGTACCTAACCTTTTCATCAATCTTATTTAATCAGGTTTTTAATAACTGTTACAAAGTATTCTGGGTGAATGTCTTTTCTACCTGATCCTGACCTCATTGAATTATTAATCAGAAAATTAAGAATTTAATAATAATAAAAAATCATTTATTTGCTAGGACATGGTAATTATGTGTTATTTTTTTAATAAGATTTGGAAAATATATTATTATGTTATTGCTATTATTTCTGAACGACTAAATAATTCGTCTATCATTTCAGGCTTGCAGAGGCGGTAAAGTTGATGAGGGTAGGACGGTGAGACATGACGGGGAGGAAAACCAGTTGCTCGTTGTGCCTTCTCACGCAGATTTTTTAATAATGCATTCATCAGTAGATGGTGAGTAAAGAAAAAATATATGGTTAATTGATGGATTTGAAAAGTATTTTTTTATGTCTTTGACATATAAATTAAGGAAGAAAGTCCTCTACATATCTCTCTTAAAAGTCTTACTGTTGTCTATCCTGTGCAGTTTGCTACTAATTAAAGTAGAGAGGCCACAGTAATATAGTTGAGTTAAGGGTGATAGACTATGAATGTAAGGGCTAGGCTACTAAAATGCTGTAGTCGTCAAACAACTACTCTGGATAATTGTTATTCCTAGAATAAAAATGCGGGTATTTAACCCGCATTTTCATTTTTTTTATTTTGAGTTTGCTACTGAAATATGAATATGAATATTCTACTATTTACTAGTGTCGTACGAGTCCTCATACCATGACAGTTGATAGGCAAATCTTTTAAGGTTTTAAAGGATAATATTCAAAGAATCATAAGAAGAAGAATGAAATAACGATATACATGGACCTATTTAAAAAATATCTTCTGGAGATTATGGCTTAAAATTAATGGAAAATAAATTTTATATAGTTTTTATCTTGATGCATAAGTAAACTGTACTAGCTGTGTATATCTTTCGGTGACTACTTTCTGCATAGGTAATGCCATCTCACATACGATCTTATTTATTCGGATTTCAGACAAATTTCAAATAACTAATACTGGCTGCTTCTACAGACATAGCGACATATTGCCATGTAATGGTATCAAACTTATCAAACTATATCTAAAATGACAGCTACCGAAATCGCCAGAGAGATTTTATTTTACAGAATCGCCCTAATGATGTTAGTGTAAAGTATACAATCTATTATTATCTTTTAGGTATTAAACGACAAAAAATTTCACCATTTCAGATCACTTATCTTGGCGAGACATTGGTGGATCTTGGATGATTCAGGAACTATGCGAAATTATAGATGCACATCACCATAATATGGACCTTTTACATCTGATCACTCTCACGAATAGAAATGTGGCTTACACGCGTGCTTCGAATACACCATCTAATTTGAGGACGCATAACATGAAACAAATCCCCGAGACACGTTTTACGCTGACAAAATTAGTAAAATTTTAAAACGTTCTGACAAACCAAGACCAATGCTTAAGTTTTATAAATATACATACTATTATGACGTGTTTTTCAGTTTTTATTTTCTATTAAAATATGCAATCGACTCGTACTTGTTGTTTAATCAGCATTATTTTGGCCATAAATACCCGTGGGGACGTTTCCGTTCATTATTACTATTAAGTTTTTATTGAATACCCTACAATCTTAATCATAATTAATAATTGTTTAGTAATGGCGATTTAATGTTGTTATAAAAGGTATGGTGCAAGATGAAAAAAAGCAAATGAACTGACTGAGCATTAATGAAAGATAGCTGACGTAAGCAGAGCGAACAATTTCAAAAGCATTGGATTTGTTGGCCTAACTAAAGAAACAATCACAGACCTAAGTGATAATAGTGTGTACAATACTTCTAAAGTTTGCTTTAATAGAAATCATCAGCCACACATGAGGTAAAGTTGATTAAACATTGTCGGAAAGTTATTTAAAAGCAAATTCTGAAGCATAGCGTGTTGCCACGATCTTGGGCTTAGATAACCTAGCGTCTAGTCTGGTATCGCGAGCCAATTCAATTTGTTTGCACAACGTTTGTCTATCAGTTGGTTAAATTGACTGATGAAACCTCCTCTCTTTGTCTTTGGTAATTTGTAGCGTTTAAAATGGAGGTTGAAATGGTATTTTTGGAGAGGAGGACGGGTGAATTGTACCCGCCGACTTATAACGACCAAATGAATGTATGCTCTTTTCAAGACTATTACTTGTTACTATTGAGGCCAATTCGCTTTAGAATAATATTATTTTTGGCTAAGATAGCATTCGCTGTGAAGTTTTATTCGCCAGTTTTTCTCCACAGCTAAAAACGGTCCTTAACTGGTGGTAGGGAAAAAATATGGTCTATAGGCTATGGTGCCGCATATCATTAGGTGGAGTTTTTGCCACCCTATTCATTAAAAAAAAATATATAGTCAAGAGTAGTGCTATTTGACCACAAACAGGATGGTTATTGCTCGGTGGGTCCCATACATTTCTGTCCGTTTCTCTCTTTTTTCTTGTCTTCTTTCTTTTTTCAATTGCGATGAATTTTACGCCTACATCCGAAAAATATTAAAGAAACATCTAAAATAAACCTAAAACTAACGGGGCGATAACATGTATTTTCGATTATCGTATACACGATTCTGGCATGATTGTTTAACCTAAAATAAAATTTGGTAAAAGTGTATCCTTGTTATCAACACAATAAAAAAGAGAGACTATTGCCAAATCAAAATTTAAATTTAGAAAATACAGCTCGCCAATCAAACCCAGTAATGAAGAGAGAAGTGAATTAACGATATATATATTTTAGATAAAGTATTTTATTATTATTATATATTATTATATATATACTAGCTGTCCCAGCGAACTTCGTACCGCCATAAAAAAATAGGGGTTGGTGGTAGAAGGGTGAAAATTTAGGGTTGTATGTATTTTTGTATGATGTATCATAAGAAAAATAAGAAAAAATATCTAAAATTAAAAATTAGGGGTGGATTACCCTTAACATTTAGGGGGATGAAAAATAGATGTTGTCCGATTCTCAGACCTACCCAATATGTACACAAAATTTTATGAGAATCGGGAAAGCCGTTTCGGAGGAGTTTAACCACAAACACTGCGACACGAGAATTTTATATATTAGATATAGATGCCTTCACATATTATACATCGCTATGATTGTAACTGTTCTGTAGTGTAACAGCGGGAACATATCGCACCCCCAGTGGAAAAAAGGCATAAGTGAATTTACGTTGAATCATCGATTTTATCATATTTGAATAGTTCGTTTGACGATACATATGCTAAATTTTTTTCATATTTTTCTTGTTAAATTTGACGAATTAATACAAGAAATTAATTTTGAGATTTTTTATTACATCACATTTTTTCTTAAGGATTAAAAGATTATGTGATGTTCGGTGCACAACCGAACATTTATATTTTGCTTATTAATTATTTTGCAATACTTAACACCGTCACGGCGCCTGGCCTAATTTAGGTCATTAGCCGCGGTGCAAATATAAATTAGTGTAGATTTCGATGCATAAGCGAACGCACTCATTAACATACATTATTATAGTATTTTAAGAACATTTTGTGAACAAACAATAAACACGTAATTATTTTCGGTAACAACTTTATTATTTTAACATCCACTAAGCTCAGGCACTAACATATGGTCCTTCGAGCTATACCTCGCGCGCGTAATATCGTGATTTTTGAGGTGAATGAACAGTGAACATTGGAATACAGTGGTGTGTGAATTTAGTGGACTATCAAGCAACACCAGTAACACTGTAGTTACTGACGTGCCGGTTACGAAAGGATTCGTAGCCCTATCAGCAAGGAAACTTGGCGTGGTGGCCAGGTGATTCCAGCTTTATCATCATTCAAGTAAGGTCGTTTTATTTTTACTCTTTTCATCATGGAAGACTATGTCAACATCATCGAAACTCAAGGTGAGATCATGGGTGCGATGGAAAAATTACTTACCAACTTTAAGAAAGATTCATCTGAGCGGAAGACCCCTACCAATATCAAAAGGCGGTTGGAAACTCTTTACCAATATTGGGCAGATTTTCAGGCAAATCATTCTAAATTAGACGAAATTACTGATAAATCAGCTTATTCGTATTTCACCGAAAATGATTATGAACAAACAAAGAAATATTATTTTGACGCTAAAGCATACATTGAAAGCTTTTCTTCGAAGCCAAGTACAAGTACCCTTAACATAGAACCTAAGGTTGACATTAGATGCTCAACACCAGTAGGCATAAGAGAGAAATACACGCCTGATCCTATTGGAACCTCGTCGAGAACTACGCCGGTTCCGAACAGTAACATAAGCAACATGCTAAGAAAACAAGAAGCGAACTTTAAAGCATTTCAAAGAACTGTAGGGCTCATTGATGTTGAGTCTATTACAGAAAAGTGGGAGTTTGAAGACGCGTTAAGGTCTTTACAAACTCGTTGGTCCTTGGTAGACAGTCTACACTGGGAAATAGTTTATGAAGCGGGCGACGAAAATATAACATATGAGAAAAAATTTGATTATTATGAAAAATTATTTAACAATTTGAAAAAGTCGATTAATACAAAAATGTGGTCAATGGCACATCGCGAGAAATCTACTCCTCAATTAGATATTCCCGTTTTTACTGGTCATTATAACCAGTGGGTATCCTTTAAGGACTTGTTTACAGAAGCTATCCACAACAACCCGTGTTTGTCAAGTGCTCAGAAAATGCAGTTCTTAAAAAGCAAGGTGCGTGGTGAGGCAGAAAGGCTCATTCAACATCTCACCATTAGTTCCGAGAACTACATTGCGGGTTGGAATATTTTAAGCAATCGCTATAACAATAAAAAACTTATTTTTACATCTTATATGAACACCCTTTTAGGGCTCCCTAACATGCAACTACAATCAATGAGTCAAATAAAGAAAATGCACGACGTCGCAATAGAAACCTTCAATGCAATAAAAAACCTGGAGGTCGACATTACAACATGGGATCCGATTTTGGTTCATTTACTATCACAAAAATTAGATTCGGAAACTCATGCCGATTACATTGAATCCTTAAAAAACCCAAGAGAGCTACCAGTGTTACAAGAGTTATTAGATTTTCTCGAAGGAAAATTTACTGCATTAGAATCATCGCGGCGCAAACAAGAAACTAATCAACAGAGATCGAATAATGTAGAAAAGGAGACGCACTCCGTCCGCCAAAAGCCATTTTTTCAAAATCAGAGATATCATCAAGCTTTAGTTTCAAAAGGACTGCACTCTAATAAATCACCTAACGTAAGCAATTTTCAACATAAAAACACAAAACCGTTGGTGAAATCTCTACATGTTTCATCCTTTATTAAATGCCCGTTATGTAATCAAGATCATGGCATTTATAATTGCAAGAGCTTTTTAGAAATGTCAAATGACCAGAAACTTAGAACAGTAAATAATTTGAAACTTTGTGCTAATTGTCTTTTTAGTCACAATGGTAATATGTGCATATCAACTAGAACATGCCGTAAATGCACTGCTCAGCATAATACTTTGTTGCATGACGCATACAATCAAGCAATGCCCACGGTGACACCCAGGTCATCGACTTCAAAAAAGGCAAATGAACCTAGTTCACACGTGTCTCAAAATGACTATTCGGAGATTTTATTGGCAACAGCTATTCTTGAAGTAAAAGCTGCGGACGGAACTCCCCTTCAAATGCGAGCTTTAATTGATCAAGGTTCCCAAATCTCATTGATCAGCGAAAATGCAGCACAGCGTTTAGGTTTAAAAAGACAAAAATGCAATGGGACTATTTTTGGAGTAGGTCAAAGGGAAAACTCATGTAAGGGCGTTATAAACATCGAATGTACTTCGTTATACAATGAATACACGTTCCATGCAGAGGTACTCATTATGAACAGTTTAATAAAAAATCTACCGAACAAAACATTCAAAAAACCGTCTTGGAATTTCATATCAAACATAAATTTAGCTGATACTGACTTCTATAACAGTCGTCCTGTAGACATATTACTAGGTGCTGATGTGTACTCAAAAATCATTTTGAGCGGCATAATTAAGGTAGAAGACGAAACAGTACCCATTGCTCAACAGACACAGTTGGGTTGGTTACTATGCGGTCATGCAAAGACACATTATCATTGCAACGTCATCACGAACAACATAGAAAACATTGAACGATTTTGGGAAATTGAAGAAATAACAGAGGCCGGCTGCCTTTCTAGTGAAGAGCAGGAATGCATAAATTTTTTTTACACCACAACAGTAAGAAAAGAGGATGGTCGGTATGAGGTTCGGCTACCCCTAAAATCGGAAATTCAGAAAAAATTGGGCTCTTCAAAACAAATGGCTATTGCTCAATTCCTCAACTTGGAAAAAAGATTTAATAAACAGAAACAACTAGCAAAGGACTATAAGGAATTCATGGGCGAATATGAAACATTGAAACATATGAAACTTGACAACGATTTGGTTTCCAGCATAGAGTGTTATTTGCCGCACCATGGAGTCAGTCGCGTCGAGTCAAGCACAACAAAATACAGGGTAGTGTTTAATGCCTCCGCTTCAACAAACAGTGGCTACAGTCTAAACGACTTAATGTACGCGGGCTCTAATCTCCAACAAGATTTACAAACATTACTCTTAAAGTGGAGACAATATCAGTACGTATTTACAGCTGATATAGAAAAAATGTATAGGCAAATACTAGTAAATGAACAGGATCAGAGCTTGCAAAAAATAATATGGCGCGAAAAACCTGAACAGCCACTAAAATCTTATAAACTAACAACTGTAACTTATGGAACAAGGGCAGCTCCATACTTAGCAATGATGACATTACGAAAGTTAGCTGCCGACGAACAAGAACATTTTCCCGCTGCGTCAAAGGTGCTGGAGTCATCATTTTACGTCGATGACCTTGTCCATGGGTCATATTCTATATCTGAAGGTCAAAAGCTTATAGCAGACCTTACTCTGTTATTGAAAAGGGCAGGAATGAACTTGAGGAAGTGGTCATCAAATAACAGCGAATTATTACTAAATTTGAAAAAAGATGTTAACAGAAATGAAAACACAATATTTACTTTCAAAACGGACGATAACTCGAAAACATTGGGATTATGCTGGAACTCATCCACTGACAAATTTACATTTAATTATCAAGTTACAAAACATAACATTAAACCTACAAAACGGAGTTTATTGTCCGACATTTCAAAGTTATTTGATCCTCTGGGTTGGCTAGCTCCATTATCAACAAAACATAAACTACTTTTTCAAACCTTATGGAAAATGAATTTAAAATGGGATGATGTCGTTCCTGACGTCATTTACAAGGAATGGTCAAAATTAAAAAACGACATACATTTGATAAGTAGTTTTGAAATACCTAGATGGTTATCATGCAGCGGCACTGACGTCATTCAACTACATGGCTTTTGTGACGCGTCAGAGAAAGCTTATGCTTGTGTTGTATACGCGAGAGTAAACAATAATCAAAAATCCATTCTAGTAGCGGCCAAAAGCAAGCTCGTGCCGCACAAAAAAGCAATGTCTCTACCAAGATTAGAACTTAGCGGAGCTTCATTGTTATCAAAATTAACGGACAAAATTATATTAGCATTAAATCAACATCATATCGAACTCTATTGCTGGACAGACTCCATGGCAGTTCTGGGTTGGATACAAGGGGAACCGAGCCGATGGAAGCCTTTCGTCTCGAATAGAGTTGAAAAAATCGTCAAAATTATACCTATTC